CCCACATTCTGTGCAATTATCATTGTTGACATTAGAGGGATCCAATCTCATTCCCATTCCATCGGTTGTTCCGCTCATTACAGGGCAAGTGTGCGTGGCCTGTTAGCGCCTAAAAGCAATTCGTTGTAACTATTTTCAATGGGGCCCTAGCCATTAATGTCTCTTTGCGTAAACAATTTTAATTTGCCTCCGACTGCTGCAAGTTTTGCAACCGCATTCCCGTTCCAATTGCCGCCTTTTGTATTCGCAGCGGCAGTCGCAGTTGCAGTCTCATTTTCATTCGATGAGGTGACAAGCCCTGGGGTGGCTAGTCCGCCATCCAAAGGCACACAAGCTGGTGGCAAATTATGGTAAAACATACAGGGGGCGTGGTTTTGGGAGGCGGGGGCACACGAAACGAGAACTTGGCATGCAAGCCAGGCCATGTCATTGCAAAAAGCCAGGGGAACAGTCAGACACTCCTGGCATACCATTTGTCTATCCTGCACACTGAGATAAAGTCCACTGAGTTTAATAAATACTTTTTTAAGTGTGAATAAAAAATAAATATTTTGGCTACTTTAGTATCCTTTGAAGTCTTTTACCTTTTTCCAGTTACCTCCAATTTGGCTCAGTGCCTATCTGACTCCACCTTTATGCCCGTCGCTGTAAGTGTCTTTGGCGCAATGCAAGTGACAGTTTATGGCATGCAGGTATGGCATGCATTTTATTTGCTTTCGATTAGACCCAACTAGCTGTCTTGTCTGCTTCTGCAGTTTGTTTGCCATTTGTTTATGGCGACTAATTTCGTGTTAAGAAATTTGCAAACAACCCAGCCAGGACCTAGCCAGTATTCAGCTTATTCCCCGACCGACCGACCCCATTTGTCATGCCTGAATGGGCGTTGGTTTTCGAAAAGAGTGGAGCAGTCTAGACAAGGGTCGCACTTTCGTATGAGTCAGCCTGTCAGTGGCAGCTGTTCGTCCGTCTGTCAGAACGCCCTGAACTTGAATTTTAAATGCCCCAACCGCAAACAACATGTGTGTGTGTGGGGGATGGGCTGTCTGTGGTCATTAAATGTCAGCCGCAGACATGAAAAAAATCAAACGCAACCTATCCCACGGCACCACCGCATATTCCGCATTAATATGCCAAAAATGCTTCTTGGCTAAATGATGACAATAACTGTCAAATTCGACATTTCCTGAACATTATTTTAAGCCTCCGCGCATTTTAAAATATTTAATGCTCCAGGCAAAAGTTACGAAATAATTTAATCACCGAATGAAATGCATAAATATTTATTAAAATACCAAGCTTTCACGGTGTAGTCTTGCGTGTTATTTTAAAATACAATTTCAGCCAAGCTGCTAATTAGTTTATTTAATACGTCGTAAATCATTCTGAAAGGCCACGGATTTGAAAAACGCTATATTAACAAATTCCAGGACCTTCATGTATGATGATATTGTCACGTACACAGGGGTCCTACCCTGCGTATGAGCAACGAATCGGGGCCAAAGCCAAATAAACATAATTTTCTCCTTTTTTCCACTGCCGTTGCTGTTGCAGCTGCTGCTGCTGTTGATGCTGCTGGCCCATCAACAATCAAGCTAAAAGCCACGTTCAGGTAGAGTTCCCCTCTATTGACCGAAAGGATGAGCTGTGAGCCAGTATGTGTGTGCTTTTGTCGCATATGTAACCATGTTTGCCTGGCCAGATTAAAAATTATACTTTGTTTGCCCAACTGTCAGCAGAAAAACCAGGCACAACAACAACAAAACGGAGCGCCTAAAAAAACCGAGCTGAATAAAAAACTGGTGTAAAAACTTTTCTGGCCTACACACAGTGACAGTGACAACAAACCAAACAAAAGTTTGGCAACAAAACCGAGTTTCGTTGTTCTTACCTTGCCCCGAAAATGTGTGTCAGCTGATACATAAGAGCTATTCCAGCCATCCCAGCCACCCAACGCCCACCCACGCATCATAATAATTTTTTTTCGTCCTTTTCGTCAGCCATACTGTTGTTGGTAGCAATCAGCATTTTTCTTTATTTCTGGCCCGTTTTGCAAGCTGAAGTTTATTTTGTAAACATGCCACTAAAAGTTTTCCACTTTGCTCTAAAATACTCAAACCGAATGCCAACACCAGCGACAACGTGTCCCACTCATCCTCGGCCTCCCAAATGCCCTTTTTTTCCCTCCTCCTTGTGTTTGCTGTTTTTTAGTTAATTTAAAAAGTTTCTTTTTTTTGCAGCTCCTGCTTGGGCTTCTGTCGTTTCTCGTTTTTGATTTGCAGCAGTCAGAAAAATTGGTAAACGATTCGTCGAAACGTTGTACAGCACGAGACCCACACTAGCACGCTGGCACATGTTGCAGCGGTAGCCGTAGTTGTAGTTGCGGTAGCTGGAGTCCTGGGAAAACTGACATTTGCGCGCCTTGCTCTCCCTTCGACTGTATTTTTCCTTTTTCCATGGAATTGCTTTTACAGTTTTCTGTTCGTTTGCTTTGCTTTTGACTGCTGCTGCTCAAAATGTTTCTTTTATTTATGTGCTGTCACCGAAATTGAATTAGAAATCGTTTGCGGTGGCGGCCAGGCCGGAGGTCAAAATGAATCTTAGCTCAGTTTGCTCTGACTAACTTTATGTAACTAAAGTCTTAAAAATATGTCTTAAAGAGGATTCATAAATTTGTAGACTTGTCTTACAAAAGAAAAATCTTAACATTGAAAACAAAACTTCCTTTATCTCTCTTAACTGTTTTAGCTCTTTCTTTCTCACTTTAAATAGTCACGTTACATGGCCAAAATGAACCGCTTTGGTTACCAAAATTTTTGGAATAGCTCATTGTCCTTTCAATTTTCGCAGCAAAAGTCCTTTCTGGCAGACCCGTTAACTGCACTCGTGAAACTGCACGTTCGGCTTTAATTAGATTTCATTTGAGGCATGGCATCGTTGTCATCCTACGCTCCAAAGCCCAGTCCCCAGCTAGCCCTGAGTTTTTCCTTCCTGACAGTGGCCATGGCATCGACGTCCGTTTGACAACTGTGTTCCGTCCCTTTCTTCTACTCTGCATATATATACTCGTCTCACTCGGTGTTTGTCAGCGCAAAATTTTTGCGCTTTTTGCGTGAAAAATGATGGGAAATAATTTGCCAACGATGCTGTCCTTTGCCGGCGAGAAGGACCCTGAGTAAGTGGGTCGTGAACGTGCGTTTGACGTGGCCATTTGGCGCACCTTCACCGAGATGGAGGGAGAGATACGAAGATACGGGGGCATCCTGAGGGGAATGGTTTGTTTTCCTCGCTGCCATTTCTCTTTGTGTGTATTTAGGTGAAATTTATTTTACTAATTATTATGTAAGCGCCGGCGTTTGGAAGCTTCAAGCGCTCCACCGTCCAACGGCATCAAGTGTTAGTTAATGAAATTAAAGAGCTTCTAAAGTGGGCCACGCCCACATAAAATATTCCCTCTTGCTAGTGCTCGTTCTCGACTCCGTTCTCCTCCTTACCCCTTAATTTTCCCTTCATAATTTATGTGGCAGCTGTGTTCGAAACGTTTTAAACCGTAGCACAACATAAATGATCGATAATTTATACTCCCCAAATAAAGTTAACCTGGCCGAATGAAAACTGCACCTTTCCTCCCTCCCAGCGATATGATAATGTTCCGGTTTTAACTCAATTTCGCATACTGATGCCGGCGAATTCCCACTGGCCCAAAGTGGACAGCAAAATAAATTTTTACACACATCTACTGTGCACGAAATACTATATATAGTGGTATGTATATTTTTTATAGCTCTCTGGGGATAATCAGCGGAGGAGAGAGCAGAGCATCAGTAGCAAAGCTAATGTAAAGTCCAACGCAGACACATAAAAATGAGAATTTATGCATTTTTTTCGAGGCTGAGACCAGTGAGCCAGAACAGTCAGCCAAATAAAGTAGCCACCGAAGGGAACAGCCGGCCGGGCGCCTGGCAGGCGGTGGGTGTTCAGGTGCGTGGCTGAAGCAGGAGCCACAGAGGTGACACAGGTGACGCTTTTGTGGATTTGTGGCCAACATTGGCGTTTATTACAGAAGCGGAGAAACAGGAAATGCGCACATGTCGCTGAGGAAAAAACTGGCCACTGCCCATAATGAAGTTGTAAAAATTGCATAATTTTATTTCTTTCTTTTCCGTATTAATTTAAACATTTTTACCTCTCGCTGGGCAAAAGTTTTGTTCGTTTATGCAAACGACACATTCAGAAAAAAAATGGTTAACCACATTTTTAAATGTTTGGTCGGAAAAAATATGTACTCGACTTCAAACAATGGATTTAAATGTTCAATTAAGGGAAGCGTTGGGGGAAATGAATGGAAATGTTCAGGGACTTGAATTTCATTTAAGGATCAACTTGTAAAAATGTTTGCACGTTTTACATTCATAAAAAATAGTATTGGTAATGGATGTTATGGTGGGATACCTTCTTTTAAAACATAACCCATCAGTATATTTCCATTTTAATGTGTCTCCCTTAAAGTCGGGCCGTTTCCCTAATTAGCCAAATAAACCTTATCTCTCGGCAGACTTTTTCTCGACTTTGCCGCGTAAACGCTTTTTCTGAACAAAGTTGCAAATGGCTAATTAAAAATGTATAACTTTTGATGCATAATTAAATTTTATTTGTTCGTTACCTCAGACAAAAGAAGGCAACTCAAAATATACCCACATTTAAAGACCAACAAAATGTTTCTTCAAATTCGAGCAAACAAGGTGAGAATGAAAAATTGCAATTAAAAATTAAATGGACACAGAATAAATACACAAATGGAAAGGCAAATAATTGAAAATAAAAATGTACTGACAGTAAATACGAGGTCTTACCCAAGAAAACAATAAACGCGCCATATTTTAATAAATTATTCGCAATTATATTGCATTTGACACAAACCCAGTTAAAAAGACACTCCATTCAAAGGCCAGCGAATTTTTGAATGATTTAAATGAATAATATATAATATAGACGACACTCACCTGGTTTAAAACCATCGGCATGCTCGTGCGAATTTCCATTGGGAACGGCTCCCATGATTAGGCATACAATTAATGCCAATATCCTGGACATGGTTCTGTATCTGCTCCCGATTCGAATCCCGATGCAATAACTGTTGAGTTGGTTGTCTATGGCCGCACTGAGTGGAACCCACTAAGCCAACATTGAATATGCAAATGAATTGGGTTGGTTCTGCTCAAACATGGCTCAAATATGCAGGCTCGTTGCTCTAATTTTCTTTCTCAATGATTTGTTGGTTGGCTTTTTATCGCTTTTGCTTTTGCTTTCGTTGCGTTTTGCGTTTCACTCTCGTGTTTCTGTTTTTTTTTTTCACTTAATTAAAAACTTTTTCGCTGCACATAAATTCATTTTAATATTTACAAACATTTTTTGCCAGGCTCCTTGGCTGTGCGACGGCTGTTTGTACAAAACGCATAACCGTTAAGATGAATTTTTAATAGAATTTGACGAGGCTCGACTTTGGTCACCACTCGTATATACATATATATATATATATATATGTATGTTTGTTGGGGCACGGTTTGCTGCGTGTATGCTTGTTTATAAATATTTAAAATAAAACGCGCACGTGTTGCTCATTTTGCGCTCTTTGCTTGCCCGCTTTGCATTAAAAATGTAATTTCAAATCCTTTTCCTCATTCTGTAAGCTTAGCCAGGATGCTTCGCCATCAGACTGATAACTGAAATGAAACAGAACGAGAGAACAGTTCAACAGTTAGAGAGGGTCCATACATACATATACTATAATATCAGCGTTTCATGTGGTTAGTTGCGTTTTAATTAAAATTCTCGCATATTTCCCCTAATCCACTAAGCCAGTTGTGCCTTCGGTGGATTTATCACCGCTGCTCTGCCATAAATAAATGCTCATTAATTTGAAGGCCATTACATAATGCCGGGACACACACAGGGAACAACTTAATGCCAATCAATAATGATGGATTAGCCAGAGACACACACAGAAGGACATCCCTCTGTCTGTTCCGGTTTGGCAAATGAATAGCCCAAGTTTGGCCCAGAAGGGAATTAATTGCAAACGAAGAACAAACAAGACACTGCAAAAAAAATCCTGTTTTATAGAACACTACTTTATAAGCAGGAATCGTTAAGTTTTATCAGTGCATCACACACACACACAAAATCAGACCAATTAAAACGAAAAAAAATATCAAATGTCCATGACATTTCTAGTCCCACTGTCAATGGACTAATGTATGGCCACATTCTTGAGAAGAGGAAACCCTAAACCATCACATCGCCTCCATCTCCACCACCCACTTGCTAACTAACGGTAATTGACAAAAGAGTCATGAAAACTTTGACTTGAAAGTTGTTGCCACGTTTTTGTTTAACACGCAGCCAAACAAGCTGACAAACTTGTATGACAGCTAGTCAAGCGAACTTCTCCCGCGTCCCGGAAAAAAGGCACCAAAGGGCATGGAAGGAGGGGCCGGTGCCAACAGGAAGTGAGTGCAGGTGTGATGGGGTCAGGAGAGCACCAGGTAGTAACAGCAGTCACACACAAGCACCTTCACATCTACTCCCCCTGAGGAGGACCAGGAACTGCGCCAAGTTGTGTTACTTGAGCAAGTTTGCATTGGGTAATTAAGAGCTGTGCAAGTGTTTATTGAGAGATTGTCGGGGGCGAGTATCTCTACTTACGAGTATGTGTGGCCAGGGGGAAAAGTTTGGTTTTTCCACGCCGAGACGGCCGCAAAAAGGAATCAGGGGAATAAAGTTTTGCAGCTAAAAACGATTAAGTAAGACAGTAAACCATCTTCATTATAATTCTAGGACTAATCGCCAAAGAAATAAACGACGCTTTACTATGTATTAATCTATAGATTACGTTTAACCCACAAAGTTTAAGAATGCAAGCCTTTTTTTAAGACTTTTATTCATAAAGTAGAGGCCCTTTGATATGGATCTAGCCAGGTCATAACTTCTCCGGTTTTTTATCCTATTTGGCTCGACAAATTCCAAGTCACTTGGCTAGTCAGTGAACCCATTGGCCTAAGCCTATGGAAACAGTCAACAAATGGCACATTAGACACCACCACAGAAAAAGCTGGCAACCAAACAAAAACCATTGACAAAAACTCAGTCAATTATGCCTACAATATGCACACATTTCAAAACGATGCCAGCAACCTGAAACTGAAGCAACAAAAACACCAGCTGCAGTAAGGGCAACACGGATATTCCATAAAACTATAGCACTGTTAAACAATAAAAAAATAAGCAGAGACTGCTGGAGGGTAAAAAACATGAGAACAAAACCCAACCAAACCAAACAAAATGAAATGAATGAATGAAATAAATGGTGAAAGGGGGGGAGTCGGGTTAAAGAATGGAGTTAGTGTGAAGTGGGCTTTTTGCCAATAGCTATACAACTTTTTGCCTCTGAAATTATTTTAGTTGCGACTGATGAAAAAGTCCCATAGTTCCAATTATTTAATTTAAAAAGCCAGCTTCAAAAAATGTATTTATTTAGATTCGATGTGAAAATAGTTATTTTAAAATTAAATATTTTAAAAAATTCATGAAGAGTATTGCAACTTCGATGCTGTTGGGTTTTGCATTTTTCTTCGGTTCTTTTTCATTGCAAGTTACCTGGAAAAGCCTCGGGGCGCTTAGCGTATAAATTGAGCGCAGCAATTTCATTTAAATGTGCACAATAAACTTAGTTCATGACCCTCGAGCATTTGTGTGGCTGTCTCGTTCGGTGTTGTGTATCGTTTATGTCTGCACATCGTCTAAATTGTAAATCACATTAAATTTGCGAGCAACATGCATAATGCAGCCTGGGCTGGGCGAGCTGAAACCGAAGGCAAGAACGACAGTTACAGCAGGAACCGGAAGTGCAGCACAAACGTACCACACACACACACACATAAGTGATTTTTTGTGGGGCAATTGAAACGAAATGAATTGCGGTTGAAAAGTTGGCAGTCGGTGAACAAAGCAAAAGTCAGGAATATGAAATAAGGAAAGAAAGCAGCTCTCCACTCCCGCTGTGAAACTTGTGCGGGAAAAACTGTCGCGCGTTTAAATCGATAAGCAGAGGGGGAGCTGAAAGCTAAAAGCTGAAAGTATAAAGGTAATTTAGTCGCTGACATGCTTTTCAAACTGCCAAACGATTTCCATTTTCTACCAACTCGTATCGAGATTTTCTTCACTTGTTTTTACAGCATTGCATTTGATTTGCATTTCCTGCGCTACCTCTGCCTCCACCAGATAGTGGGTGTTCGTCTAAATCCGTCTGCATTTGTCAGGCTATTTGGCATTATTTGACAGCACGGAGAATGCAAAGTGATTGGCTAAATGGAAATTTATTTAGAGCAGATAGCGGAGAGGCGATGGAATATTAAATCGGCTGCGTCGTGGGCACTTCAATTAAATTCGCCCTTCAGCTCTCTTCCCACTGGCATAAAAATTTAAGCAATATTTTAAAAGCCTCTCTGCCGCCGGCTGCATATTTTATAGTTCATATTTACATCGGACGGATTCTGAGAGCAGCGGAAAATTTCGGGATGAGCTGGGGAAAGGATTGGCGTGAGTGGAGAGCTCCACTTTTGCACCTGCAACTGCAACAATTTCTCCAAGCCCTCGTTTTGGATGGGATGGTTTTTTTCGATTTTTTTTCAGCTTTTTTTGTTTGCCTGCCTCAATTTCCGGCAAACTGCCGACACGGCTTATCCGTCCCCAGCCCACTTCTGTTGCCTCCGGCCTGGACCATGCCCACTTTCATTTCGACTACACGCTCAAGTGAACTTTGCTAAATAATACAACAAATTGTGCAGTGGGGCCCGTAGTCGAGCACACTCAACGCAGAAAAAAATTTTAAACATTTTTGTTATATAAAATATATACATACTATATACCTTTTTATATATTTCAGTTTCTTGCATTTTTAATGGTGATGGGGGGAGACCGACCTAAATATTTGCTATGCTGTTAAATTACAACAGAAAAATACAAACTCAGCACAGAGTGTGAGAAATAAAAGGCAAAACTAAATCAACAAACGCCTCCAGGCCAAAGGCAGACATTATGAAAATGGCGACAAACGACCGGAAGTGGCCACCAACGCACACACACAGGACTACAAAGCTACACACACACGCTCGCATATATGGGACATGGCATATAGGATAGCGTATAGCATAGCCCGTAGCTAACCTGGCGCTGACTTCCTGCGATTTAAATATGGCCAAGCCGCAGCGCCAAAGCCAAAAGCCAAACAGACGACAACGCATGCAAACAGCGGGACAGGGTCGGGGGGGTTGACCTAGGAAGTGGGAGGGCTGTGGGCCGTGGGCGGTAGCCAGTGAGCAGGTGGCGCAGCGTCGGAGGAAGCAACCAGCTATATAATGAGGCTGAAGCCAGGCTCGCATTTGCCTGCTGCTCATTTCCAGGTCGACATAATTTGTCCATAATTTGTCTGCGTCTTCCCTGGCGGACAGAGATCGAGGGGGAGAAGCGTGGAAAAGGGCCAAGTGGAGGGGTGGAAACTCTGTCTGAGGGTTTATCTATGCCCTACTGGGAAGCTATTTATATCCTCTTTGGGGCTTCTTTCACCCCACACAAAATTCAGCCAAAGCCACTAGGGGAAATGTAAATTATGAAACTGAGTCGATTTTTAATATAGAAATTTTGAGAGAACATAATAAAAGCTGCACTCAAGGCAAAAGCTATTTTATTTGGGAACTTTATCATATATAAATATTTTTAGGGTTTAAACTTTAAAGAATCTTGTAGGAATGAATATTACTTTTATTTTATATTTTATTTTTGTATAACGATTTTTAGGGCTATGGTAGACTTTTCTTCCAAGTCGCACGTGTAATATCGTTAACCAAAACATTTTTTGAAGTGTAGGGACTAAAGCAATGCTACTGAGAGTGTGATAAGCGACATGCACACGTTAAAATGACCTACTTAGCCACGTTTCTTTGCTTTTAGCCCGCCTAACCATTAATCTAAACCATTTTGGACACGGCACCAAGAATTGCCGTGTTGGCCCCGGTGTTAACAACTTTTTCACGGCTCTCAATGACCACGGACTAATTAAACGGGACGGCGTCTAATCATGTTGATTGTGTGACCACTGATTGATTGATTGATTGATAGCATGCTTGGCACGGCATTTGCCAAACTCTTCGAGCTCTTAATCGGTTTGATTGGTAGCTGCAAGTCTGTACCTGACGTTTATTAATAACTGACAGTATATTGTACCAATAGCTTAAAGACAAATTTTTAAAAACACTATCACAGCACAGCGAGAACAATATTTTTATTTTTAATATATTCATGGCGCCTGGCCAGCTTTTGACAAGGAGAAGAACAACACTGGTGGCATCACCAAAAGCAACAATAACAATAAAACGCAGCAGTAAGAGCAACAGCTGCAATGACAATAACTCCCGGCGTTGCACATGCACATGCACACACTCATACACACCCTTCTAGCCCACACCTATGCGCCCAGCCATTTGCCCACATAAGTATGCTGTAATTTTTTCGTGCCGCCTTGTAACATTCAGTTTATGGTAGGGATGTCGAATTTTTTAAAATTATCGTATCGATAATATTTTCTGTTTTAAAAAAATATCAAAATGATATAAATATATATCGCTACAAAAAATCGATATATCGATGTTTTTGATATTTTTTTTAG